TTTTTATGGAACTGCTGTATGGTTTCCACGGCAGCTGCACCCTTTACATCCCTACCAACAATCCACAAGGTTCCAATTCCTCCATATCCTTGACAACACTTGTTACTTTCTGATTTTTGTTTTTGTTTTTTCCTAAAATTATTTATTTACAATAGCTATTCTAATAGATGTGAAGTGGTATCTTATTGTGGTTGGTCCATTTTTTGATATCTAAATTCAGCCTTCCTTCTGAAGTCTTCAGTACCTTCATGCTATCTCGGTTATCTTTATGGTATTTCTGTGAGATGAGGCTTCCTCCCCCTTTAAAAGATGGAGAAAGGGAGGCCCTGGAACTACCTGAGAAGGGAATGGCCACAGACCCTCTGTTCTGCGTGCAAAGCGGGCCCTGGCTGTGCCTGCCAGGTAGGCCTGTGGGCGCCCCCTTGGGCCAGAGGGTGGGCTATGGGAGGAAGCAGAGAGGACTTGGTCTGAGCCCTAGCCTCCCGGCAGGTCCTCCGGGGCAGGAGGACAGTCCCATACTCACAAAAGCTCCTAGGTGACTCCTAGTGCTAGTTTTGGCTATTTTGCTGGGTTAGGTGAAAAGACATTCCATGAATCCTGGTTTCTCATGGCAGAGTCAGGGGTACAGTCCTAGTCCTTTCCTGATTCTGAGAAGGAACTAAAGCAACCTTTAAAAATTTTGAGTGTAATTTAAGGGAAGCTATTTATAAATTGCTGCAGGGTCAGGTCTCTGATGACCAACAAGGGTGCCCCCTCCTGGACTGGCCAAGAACTGTTCATGGCTCTGGTTTGGATGCAGCAATGCTAGGGCTAATGAAAATAAAAATTTTAGTTAACTTACCATGGTGCTTACTGATTCTAAGTGGTTCATGTTATTAGCTTTTCTAATTCTCATAACAACTTTATGAAGTAGTGACTCTTATTATCTCCATTTTACCTATGAGGAAATGGAAACCCAGAGTGACTGAGTAACTTGTTCAATATCACACAGCTGGTAAACGGTGTTGGGATCTGGACCTAGGCAGCCTGGCTCCACACATGGGGAGATTTGAAGAATCCAAATCATTTCATAGTTTATAGTGTTTCTATCTGTTTCATTTAATCCTTGCAATGACACAGTGAGGCAGCCATTCTTGTCGTTCTCACTCTAGCAGAGGTGGAAACCGAGGCCCGGAGACATCCCGAGGTCCCTAGGGACGCTGCTGTGGCGTGCCGGGGGAGGAGTCCGGGAACCTGTGCACTGCTGGGGGTGCACATGCTCAACCTCTGAAGAACACAGTATGGAGGTTCCTCAAAAACTTCAAATTAAAACTACCACATGGCTCTGGCTGGTTCGGCTCAGTGGTAGAGCGTCGGTCTGCAGACCAAAGAGTCACGGGTTTGATTCTGGTCAAGGGCATGTACCTCAGTTGCAGTTCATCCCCGGCCCTGGTCAGGTTCGTGTGGGGAGGCAACCAGTCGATGTGTCCCTCTCATGTCGATGTTTCTTTCTCTCTCCTTTCTCTCCCTCTCTCTCTGAAGATAAATAGAAAAATATCTTCAGGTGAGGATTAAAAAACAAACAAACAAACAAACAAAAAACATACCATATGGTCTAGCAATTTTCTGGGTGTACAACCAAAGAAAATGAAACAGGATATTGAAAAGATATCTGCACTCCCATGTTTGTTGAAGCATTGTTTAATAGCTAAAATGTGAAAGTAACCTAATATCCAACAGTGGATAAATGATGTGTCACACACACACACACACACACACACACACACACACACAGCAACATTATTCAGCCATGAGCCATGAGAAACAAGGGAATCTTGCCATTTGCAACAATGTTGTTGGACCTTGAGACCCTTATGCTAAGTGAGATAATCAGACAGAGAAAGACAAATGCTGCATGTTCGTATGTATATGTGGAATCTAAAGAAGCCAAACTCATAGAAACCGAGTAGAATAGTGGTTCTGAGAGGATGGAGGTGGGTAGAGGAACTGGGGAGATGCTGGTCAGAAGGTGCAAGCTTGCAGTTAAATGATGCATAGAGGTTCAATGCCCAGTATAGGATTATAGTCAACTGTACTGTATTTCATATTTGAAATTGTTAAGAGACTGGATCTTAAATGTTCTTTTCACAAAAATGAAATGATAATTATGTGATATGATGGAGGTGTTAGCTAATGCTATGCTGGCAATCATTAAAATGTATAAATGCATCAAACCAACACACATACGCCTTAAATGTACACAGTGTTATATGTCAATCATATCTCCAAAAAAGTGTGTGTGTGTGGGGTGTATGGAGAGAGAGAGAGAGAAAAAAGAAAGCAGTCTGACTACATCGATTCCTTTCCTGTACTCTAGGCTGGGTGGCAGGGTTGGTTTGCCAAGGCCAAGGTAGAGATCCCACTTCCTGCTTGTGGCATCTCAGCGCCCTCGGTGCTGCTGCCCGGCATTTCTGAGCTGCCCCAGCTGCCCATACATGGCAGCTAGTCTTGGTCGGTGAACACAGATGCACAGAGGAAAGTCTGCGGAAGTGGGGATCAGGGATCTTGGTGGGGCCAGAGTGTGGGGAGGGGCTCAAAGCCCTATTGGGCAGGGGAAGAAAGTGGGGTGGAGGGGACACTCCTTAAGGGCCAAGAGCCTGTCCCTTCTCCTGTGTGCAGTGGGAGCCACTGAAGTCTTTTGAAGAAGAAAGAAGACAATGGTGGGATTAGAGCTGGGCTTTGGAAGGTTGGGCTAATCTCTGTATGAGCAAGACTCAGGGCCTCTCCGAGCTGAGTTCCAAACACTTGTCTTCTTAGTCTGCACATGAGTTCCTTCGGCAACCTGTCTGTCTGTCTGTCACTGAATGCTGCAACCTCTTAGGGGCTGTGAACTCTCAAAGTGCACTGGCCCTTGTAGGGCACATGTTTCTGTGTTTAGTTTGCAGCCTGGTGACTGTGTGAGCCTCTCACCACATGCACAGCAGATGTTATGATGTCTCAGGCTCTGGAACTCACAGACACGCTGCCCGGGCACAGAAACCTCAGTGTTCTCTCAGGGATGGCTTCTGCCCTCTTCCGTCTCTGCACAACTCTTGTTGGCCTTTCCAGACCCGGCAGGCTCTCCCTCACGGCACACGAGCACTGTGGCTCCTGAGCTCTGACAGCACTGACCGGCCCTGTTTCACTGTGTTGGAGACATTTACTTGTCCTCTGTTCCCAGCTGGGCTCGAGCACCTAGAGGAAAGGGTCCCTGTTCTCTGTGTCCAGCACAGGCCTGGCACTGGTTCAGTACTTAATTGGGCACAGTCACCTAAGGACGTGTATCTCCCACTGAGGGATACATATGTGTTCTAGGCACTGGAAGCAGCAATGAATAGACCAAAGAAAATCCCCACAGGCCCTTGTTGAGTCCATGGACCATTGGAGCCTCTGCATGTGACCCCACTTGCATAATTACCAGCCGAAGGACAGACTTCATGCTGCCTTCCTCAGGGCTGGGGATGCTATTATGTTTCAAGAAGGGGTTTTTGGCAACACAAGATTGGAAGTGCTTTGTTTCAGGGCCAGGGCTATCAACCTTGTTTCCTCCAAATACTAACAGAACCCAGCTCTCTGACATTGGTACGTTGCGGGCGCTGCATGTGTACTGATTGGAGCTGGAGTGGAAATATACAGGTAAGGTGCTACTCCAGCAGGGGCAGCTGACCGGCTTGGGCCGGCGCTCACTGGCGTGAACAGTGAGAGGATCCCAGCCAGCTCCAGTTTTCTGAAAGGACTGGGTTTTAGAGTCAGACAGGGCCCTGACAACATGCAGTCAGACCACAAAATAGTTGGTTTTAATTGTAGACCTTGCCTCCAACAGGCTCTGCTGTCTCTCAGGGCATTTTCCCAGTTCCAGGTCACCTTTTTGAGTTTCAAAGGCAGTAACACGCACATGGCTTTTCCAGGCCACTTGGCTGAGACAGGGCCTTGCCCAGAGGAACAGGAAAAGCGGGAAAGCTGGGCAGAGGGGCACCTGGGAGCTCTTTAATCTGTGGAGTGACAGAACTATCAGCGATACTTCTCCCTCTTCTCCCCAACACACCCACCAGCTGTCAAGCCCACAGGAAACCAACGAGAAAGAGCCCAGAACTGGGCACCAGTGCTTCTTTCCAACAACTCATCCTGGTAGCAGGAAGGATGGTTCTTGGCCTGGCCTGGCCACTGACCCAGCTGGGCAAGTCACTGTCCTTCCTTAGGCCTCAGTTTCCACATGACTGACATTGGGAGGTTGGACTGGATGGTCTTAAAGCTCTTTGGCTTTCTGTAGGAAAGAGCAGAGGCTCTGGTGTCAGATACCCCTGGTTTTAAAATGAAGGCAACCCGAGAGGGGTCCATGTGGTAGAAAGAGCTGCATGGGCTTCAGAGCCAGACACACATGGGTTCCAGTCCTGGCTCTGCCCCTTACCAGCTGTCTAACTTCGGGGCAGGTTACTCGCCCTCCCAGAGGCTGGGTTTTCGATGCAGAAATAGTGCTGTGCCCTCATCCCTGGGTGGCCGGGGAAGTATCTACCACGAGCCAGGGCAGAGGAAGCATGCAGCCCGAGCTGGGCACAGAGACAGTCTGCAGTCAGTGTGGGTGGTCATGGAGGTGTGAAAGGTGCCTTGACGCGGGTGGGTGGGCACAGGGCTGGAGAAGCTGCCCTGAGCAGGGCACTCCCAGAAGAAATACATACGGAGATGTAAATTTCCATCCAGAGGTTTCTTGCTCATTCTGGAAGAGGGCCACAGGAACAGCCTGATGGCCCCGAACTGTCACGAATGTCTGTAGCCCACAAGGACAGGCTAGTGCAGGGTTGCTGGGTAGGGCTGGGCTTACCTCCCATTCCCGGCTCCGGCTCTGAGCTTTCAAGCAGCCCACGCTGGGGAATCCGGCGAATCCTGGGCCTCTGGGGAGACGGGGCTTCTGGCCCAGTGCTGGTTTGGCCAGCGTATGGCCCGGGCCGTGGCGCTAGGAGAACATGCTGTCTGTGCCTTTCCAGTGCGTCGGTCTAAGGCAGCTGACGAGGAGAGAAGCCGCCGGGCCCAGCATGCCCGGGACGAGTACCGGCGCCTTTCGCTCCGTGCCATCCAGAAGGGCACCGTCGCTGGCCTCAGCTTCATGTTCCAAGAGCTTGGCCAGAACCATGAGCAGGAGGCCAGACTCTACCACCACTTTCCGGGCTTGGGTCCGCCACTACCCCTCGCAGTGCCTGTCAGGTGGGTCTGGTGGGGTGGGGAGCTCTGCTTGGGGAGGCCTGGCTGGGGACAGGGCCTTGGATGGGCGCAAGGGGTACTGGGGATCCAGTCCTGGTTCTGCCTCCAACTTGCTGTGAAATTTGGGGCTAGTCATTTTCCCTCATGGGCCTCAGTGTCCTAGTCTGTGGAATGGGGTAGGAGGGGGAAAGGGGTGGGGATTGGAGATTTCTAATAACTCTGGAGTTTTGAGAGTCTTTAACTTTTTTTGGGTGTCATATTCCTTCAAGAATCTAAAGCAAGCTGTCTACCCTCTTCCCTCTAAAATGTGCAACTATAAATAGTACCCAAAAATGTTTGCATAAAATTTCAAGCTCTTACAGGTCCCACATCCCAGGTTAAGAACTTGTAATATAAGACCTCAAATGGATTAAATACGGCTTAGTGGTACCCAGCTGGTGTGGCTCAGTGGTTGAGTGTTGACCTGTGGACCAAGAGGTCACTGGTTTGATTCCTGGTGAGGCCACATGCCTGGGTTTCTGGCTTAATCCCTAGTAGGGGGTGTGCAGAAGGCAACCAATCGATATTTCTCTCTCATCGATGTTTCTATCTCTCTCTCCCTCTCCCTTCCTCTCCCTCTCTAAAAAAAAAAAAAAAATCAATAAAAACATATTTAAAAAAACATACAGCCCGGTGGCCTGGAAACCAGGCTGGCTGCCTTCTGTAGCCACAGGCAGTGAGGGTACATCCTGGGCTCTGAGAGCAGGTTTGCAGATGAGTGTGGGGGTGCAGGGGACTCACACACAGGCCTCACTGGAGGGGTTGGCAAGGGCACTAAGGTGCCTGCCCTTGATCGCCAGGACTGCGGGTGAAGTGGTTGCCTCTCCACCTTCTGCCTGTGTCCACCGAGGCCAGCCCCAAGATGTGTGCCCCACCACTGCTGAGCAGCTGCTCCCCCAGTGAGGGCTCTGAGGCTGGGTGGTGAATGCCTGCTGCTCCCTGAGCCACAGTTAATCTGCAGAAGAGTCCTTTCACCTGTCTGAGTTTTGCTTTAATTGGGATTTGGGGTTATTCATACCCCCTTCTCCTTCTCCTCGCAGTCTAGAGAGAGCTGACCATGTCTGAATTCCTCCCCTTCTTTCTTTCCCCCCTTTCTTGTCTTTTATGTGATTCACAAACCAGAAAGTTTAAAATGCCATAAGGAGAAAAGACCAACTCTCATCCTTGCCCTCCAGCTGCTTAGGTCCCTCTTTCCCCAAGGGAATCATTATTCTTAGCTCATGTGTCTGCCTAGTTCCTTTTTGTAACTGCCAACACAAAGTCATATCCCCTCTGTGGATTTTTTTTTTTTTTTTGCATAAAAGTTTGCCTATTCTACACAGGGTTCTGCATTGTAATTTTTTCCTTTTATATATTGGAGATATTTTCATATCAATTCTTAACTATTTATTTATTTTTATTTAGTTTTCTTTTTACAGCTGATAGTATTCCACTGCAAGGATGTGCTATAATTTACTTATCAAAAAATCTATTAATGAAATTGATGTTGTTTGAAATCTTTGCTTATTACCAACAATGCCCTTAATGAATAATCTTGTAGACATTAATTTTATACACGTACAGCTTTGATCTACAAGAGAGACCCCTAGATGGGTTAAGGGCTGTGTGCATTCACAGCATTGATCATCACTTCGGCTTGCTCCTCACTGGGTGGTGCCAACAAACACGGTCAATAGATGTTGTCAAACTCTTGTTTTGTGTGAGAGATAATGTCTCAGTGAAAGTTTAAATTGCATTCTATTTAAGAGTGAGAGTAAGTATTTTGTGTATGTTTAAGGAACATGGGTATTTCCATGCCTGTCTGTTCTTTTCTGTCTTTTTCATTGTTACTGTTCTTTTCCTCATCCCCCATTTCTTTTTTTAAAATTTTTTTTAAAGCTTATCTTTATTGTTGAATGCATTACAGATGTTTCTCATTTTTCCCCCATTGACCCCCTCCTCCCCACTCCTGCCCCCCACCTGCTTTTCTCCACACTGTTGTCTGTGTCCATTGGTTATGCATATAAGTTCTTTGGTTTATCCCCCCCCCCCCCAAGCCCCTTTCCCTTTGAGGTTTGTCAGTCTAGCAACCAATTTGTAATCCCTTCACCTTTTTCACCCATTCCCCCAGCCTCCTTTCCATCTGGCAACCAACAAAATGTTCTCTGTATCTTTAAGAATGTTTCTGTTCTGCTTGTTCATTTTGTTTGTAGATTCAATTGTCAATAGATATGTATTCATTGCCATTTTGTTTGTTCATATTTTTTATCTTTTTCTTCAAGAAGACCCTTCAACAGTTTGTATAATAACGGTTTGGTGGTGATGAACTCCTTTAGCTTTTCCTTGTCTGGGAAACTCTTTATATGGCCATTGATTCTAAATGACAGCTTTGCAGGACAGAGTAATCTTGGTTGTAGGTTCTTGCTTTTCACCACTCTAAATATTTCTTGCCACTCCCTTCTGGCCTGCAAAGTTTCTTTTGAGAAATCAGCTGACAGCCTAATGGGAACTCCCTTGTAGGTAACTGCTTTTCTCTTGCTGCTTTTAAGATTCTCTCTTTGTCTTGAACCTTTTGCATTTTGATGATGATGTGTCTTGGTGTGGGCCTCTTGGGGTTCATCTTGTTTGGGACACTCTGTGCTTCCTGGACTTGTATGTCTGTTTCCTTCACCAAGTTAGGGAAGTTTTCTGCCATTATTGTTTCAAATAGGTTTTCGATTTTTTGTTCTCTCTCTTCTCCTTCTGGCACCCCCAAGATGCAAATGTTGGCACGCCTGAAGTTGTCCCAGAGGCTCCTTACGCTAGTCTCATTTTTTTGGATTCCTTTTTCTTTTTGCTGTTCTGATTGGGGATTTTTTGCTTCCTTATATTCCAAATTGATGGTTTGCTTCTTGGCTTTACCTTCTCTACTTCTGACTGTACATCCTTCAATTCTGAGTGTTCCTTTTTTATGCTCTTGAGGCCCTCACTAAGTTTGCTGAGGTTCTCACTAAGTTCATTGAGCATCCTTAGAAGCAGTGTTTTGAACTTAGCATCTGTTAGGTTGCTCATCTCCATTTCGCTTAGTTCTTTTCCTGGAGTTTTGTTCTGTTCTTTTATTTAGGACCTGTTTCTTTGTCTCCTCATTTTGGCTGCCTCCCTGTGTTTGTTTCTGTGTATTACTTAACGAGAGGTATGGGGCTCGCTGAGACCAAAAGCTGCTTGTTTGAAAGAATTCAGGAAAACCCGAAGCAGGATCCAAGACAGGCCAATCCTATGGTTAAGCAAGTGGCAACAGCTTGGGTGGACCTGAAAGTTGGGTGGGGTGGGGCGGGGCCTCAGGAGTCACCAGGGCGGGGCTCCCAGTGTGAGCCAGGTTGCTGGAGTCCCAGATATGGCAGCTGTCTGCCGCCCCAGGGAAGGGCTCACCAAAGGAACAAAGGCCCCTGACAGCACATTTGTCCCGGAGAAAGCCCCCTCTCCAGCCCTCGCTCCAGTGCCAAACAACTCAGTTCTTCCTGTATGTCTCTGGTGCCCCTCAAGCTGCTTCCCCTCTGAGCTTAGATGGAGCAAGTCCGTGCGTGGGCCCTTTAAGAGGAGCTGCCTGGGGCTCCAGCCACCTCAGCCTCCCTGAGCCTCAGTTCCTGCTGCTTTTTCCAGCCAGAAGTTATGGGGATTCTCTTCCTGGCACTGGAGCCCTGAGTGGGGCGCCTGGTGTGAGATGGGGACCCCTCAGTCCTGAGGGAGGACCTTTCCGGTCGGGGTATCCTCCTATTTTTTTTTTTTAATCCTCACCCGAGGACATTTTTCCATTTTTTGTTCAGACAGAGTGGGAGGGAGAGTGAGGAAGAGAGAGAGAGAGAAACAACAACGTGAAAGGGACACATCGAGTGGTTGCCACCCACATGACCCAACCAGGGCTGGGGACAAACTGCAACCAAGGTACACGCCCTTAGCGGGAACCACACCCGGGTCTCTCTGGACCACAGGCCGATGCTCTAACCACTGAGAAAACCGGCCAGGGCTCTTGTGACAACTTTTCTATGCTCACACTGCTTGCTATTGTGTGTGTGTGTGAATGGATTCATTTTAGGGCAAATAAACATATGAGCACCTTCTGGGGTTTGCAAAGAAGTGCTTCACATCAAAGAGTTGGTGCAGGGCAAATACAGGATTCGTGAGGGGACAGTTCACTTTATGAAAGACAATGACAGCAGCGGTGAATTCTAAATGCCATTACTATGAAGTGGACAGCAATGACAGTAAGAATTTTCCAGGTTCTTCAAGCGGGGCCTGAGGCCTGCCCTCCAGATGCTGTGTTTTCACATGGACTAACACAATGTGATCTTGTATGTTACATATGTGATCTTGAATTAACATATGTTAATTCTGCAGATAGCTGGTGTGTGCCTGCTATGTGTCATGTGTTGTCCAGCTCCAACTGTTTCTTGCCCGTGTAGCTCCGATAGCAGGGTCTTGTGCAGCCCAGTCGCTACATGCACTCAAGAACCACGGTTTAGACACAGACACAATGACAATCTTGGCTTACTTGTGAGAAAATGCAAAAACATATGTAACTCACTACTCATAAATTCAAGTGCCTCTCTTCATCTCACTCTCAGTATCTTCAACTCCTTTCAAATCGATCCAAAGTCACCGATGCAGTGTTCTGCCCCTGCCCCCCATTTCCTCTGTCCTTACCCTTTTTATTTCTTGGTGGTGAATCTCAGCCACAGCGAATCGGGGTTCTCCGGTTTCCCTCTGCTTGCCGTGCTGATTCTACTTCACGAAAGCACGGAGGGAGCTAGCTGGCAAAGGCAGGTGTCCCTGGGGAGGACCAGGGAAAGGGCCAGACGGAGGACAGAACCGAATTCTCTTCAGTGGGGTGTGGGGCGGAGGCCAGAGGACACCACGTGCGGATAATGTTTCTCTCGCTGCATCAGGAGCCTTCTTCGCAGGTGCTCCTGCTCACAGCCTGCCGTCTTTTCTCTCCCTCAGACGTCCTCTCCTGTCCTCGTTTCCACTCCCACCTGTGTCGTTTTTTCAAAGCAAGTGATAACAGTTTTCTTTGGAAAAATAGTAACAGCTGGTCCATTATAATCTGCAAAGTGCCTTTAAGTACCTGGACTCACTTAATCCTCTCCACATGAGGTGTGAGTGTGGGCACTGTGCTTATTCATCCTTACAGTGGCCTCCCTTTCCCCCCACTCCCTCTCCCTCCTTCTCCCCTTCCCTCTCCCCCTCCTTCCTGACTCTCCACCCTCCCTCTCTCTTCTCAGCAGGACTTGGGAGCGCCCACTGCGTCCTGTCTCCAGAGAAGTCATAGTCCGCTGGTTTAAGGAGGAGCAGCTGCCCCGCCGAGCTGGCTTTGAGAGGAACACCAAGTCCATCGCCCCCTGGTTTCATGGTAGGACAGCGGTCTGGGTCTCCAGGCAGATACTTCCCACATCTCCACTTCTTCCTGAGACTGGGGAGGAGGTCCTGAAGGACTTTTGTAAGCAGGGGAGGAGTAAAGGACTTTTAGCTGCTAATTTCACTTTCCCCACAATCTCCCAGGGTTAAGGACCAGCTCTCCTGGCTCACCTGGGTGAGACTGGAGTGGTGGACAGAGCTCCCATGTCTGTCATTTTCTTGCACGTCGAGTGTGCTGAGTTCAAGGCACACGTTCTGATTTCCCCCGGGCATGTGCTGAAATAGAGAGTGACCCTTCTCGAGGCCTAGGAGAGCATGGCATGACGTCTCTGAGCAGGAGCCCAGGAGCCGGGAGGCACCGGGACACTGGATGTGCCCTCTTCCTGCTGGGAAGGGGCGAGCACGGCCCCTGCCCACGGCTCTCACCTCACAGCCCCCTTGGCCAGCCAGGGCTCCTCAGAGGGGTCCTCTCTGTCCTCACAAGACATGAGCTCTCAGTGGACCAGGAGCTCCTGGTGGGCCGTCCCCGTCTCGTCTGAGCCTGAGTCCCCAGATCCTTGTGGTGGCCCAGCACATGGCAGGCTTTCTGCACATGCTTGTTGACTAAATGGCAGAGTGGCTGCACGAAGAGGTGGGAGATATCCGAACATAGAACCTTAGAGCTGGGCGGCTCCTGAAAGTATTTTGTTGCTTCATTTTTACAGATCAGAAAACAGACCTGGAGAGGGGAAGATGTTTTTATAAGGTCACAAAGAAGCTTGTAAAGTCAGGTTCAAGAATATATCGCATGGCTCATGAGCCAGTCCAGTGATCTGAACGTGTAGGGGACTCAAACAGGGAAGCGGATTGTGATTCCAGCAGAGACTTGCTACAGGGAAATAAAAGGGGCCACTGGCCATCACACCCTCTGTTTTAGCTAGTGATTGCTGTGTAACAAATTATTCCCAAACACAGTAGCTTACAACAAGGATGCATTTATTATTTATGAGTTTCTGAATCAACCAGGCAGCTCTTCTTGATGGACCAGCCTCAGATGATCTGTGCCACCAGATAGCTGGCAAGTCAGCTGGGCTGGCTTACCCAGGGCAGGCTCCTTGACAGCTCTCTTGGCTCTGTGGGGTCTCTTATCGCCCAGAAGCCAAGCTAGACTGTCAGGTTCTCTGAATAAGTTGCATCTTGGCCTTACTCCCTGAGTCTCCCTCCCTCATCAGTGTTGAGCCCAGGTTTGCCTGAGGACTCCCCTGGTCAGAATTGATCTCTCTTGCCACAGTGAGCACCCATCTGACCTTTATCGGCCTCTATTTCCATTCTGTCAGCCTCCTGGAAGCTTGACTGGCCCCCACATTACCCTTCATTTCCCCTGTGTTTGTTTTGCTTCCTTGCCAGCTTCTAGGTGTTCTCAATTCCATCAGATGGAGAGATGAACCTGGTGTCGTGGTAGGCACTGAGACGTGGGATCTGGAGGGCTGTTAGGGAGGCAAGCTCTGTCAAGGCTGCAGCTCCAGGAAAGGCAGCTGGAATGATTAGAAGAATCATGCAGGGGCAAGCAGGCCATATGCACCTCGTTCCCACCTCCAGGAACACAAAGAGTTTGTGAACTATGATGAGCAGACAATAGCCACACTCTACAGATGGCATGCCTGAGACATAGCATCGTGAAGGGATTGCCCAAGGACACAAAGGTCACAGAGGCACCACCCAGTCCAGGCTGCAAGAGTGTCCTCATTGGTCTGTCTCTTTCACTCTGGCCCCTGTATAAATCATCCTCCATACAGCATCTTAAGAATCTTTTAAATATAAATCAGATCCTGTCACTTCCTGCTCAGTACCCACCCCCTGCTTCCCTTTATACTTGCAGTGAGCTTCAAACTCCATGCTGGGGCCCACCAGGCCCCAGATGATGGGCCTGGCTTCCAGCCTCATGCCTCATTGTTTCTTTGCTTCCTCCTGTTCCTCAAACAAGCCATTTTATTCTCCACCTCAAGCCCTCTGTACTTGCTATTGCTGTTTCCCTAGCTTTTTGCATGCCTAACATTCCCATTTTTCATCTGAAATATCCCCTCCTCAGAGAGGCCTTTTCTGAACCCCTTACCAAAGCAGTCTTTACCAATTTCTCTCAATTTGCTGTGCTTATTCTTTAATATTACTCATCCAATTGGTATTTATCTCATTATTTGCTTAATGTCTGTTCTCCTATCTAATTGTAAGCCTGTGAAACTAAGGCCCTTGTCCATTCTTCCTAATGCCTACCATAGTAAGTATCCATGGAAGAGTGGATGGAGGCAGAAATGAAGCCTCAGAGTTGAGATTAGACTCCAGTCTTTCTAATTCCAAAGAACAGCCCTTACTTTTCCACAATGGGCCCTGGAGGGTACGTGAATCCCCTCAGGGCCTGATGAGCGAAGTTGAGCTGACGGCAATCAAAACCCAGAGTCGCATGGAAGAGTTTAGCTAGTCTTCCCAGTTGCCCTGTGCTCACAGGGCAGGGCCCTATGTATGCCTTAGGCATCTCTGTATTCAACCCTCACCTCTTTTTTTCTTTTTATTACATTAATTGGGGTCTAATATATGGTAATGGAAGATTTCACCTCTGCTTTTCATCTACCCAGAAACAAGGGCAAGACAAACGCACCATCTTTCTCTTGCCACTGTGGTTGAGTTCTCCAGCTCAATTCATGGCATCCCGTGGTGTCAGTCAGATTATGCTCGGTTATGCCACAGTGACAAATGATCCCAAAGTCTCAGCGACTTTCAAACACCAAGACATTTCTTACCCGTGTCACATGCCCATTGGGTTATGGATTTGACATGGGCCTCAGACTGAAGGAACTGCCTCCGCTGGAAACTCTACTGGTCTCGTGGCCGAGGGAGAAGAGAGGCAGACCATGTGCTGGCCCCCAAAGCTTCTGCCTGGAACCGACACGTATCATTGCTGCCACGTCTCTTTGGCCAGAGCCAGTTTGGCATCTGTGGTGTGGGTGGACAGTTTGAGTGACAGGAGAGTCTATGATAACCACCATCCACTTTGAGACCCTTTCTTACTCCCTGGCCTCCACACATCCAACAGAAGATGGAGTGGCTTTTAATGGCTCAGAAAGAAGACAATCAACTTTCCTGGGTGACTTAGCCACGTGTCCCTGGAGCTGGCCCCAGTGATTCACTACCTCTCACCTCTCTCTCATTGATGTTTCCCTGTATCCTTGAGAGAGCTTCTGTTTGAACCACCACTTCCTTTTTTATCCATACATTATTATAATCATGGAAGCATCACACTAACATCTCTAAAGTTCAGGGTGGGGGTTGCAGTTAGACAGGATAGAGATGCTCTAATTTATCTTCAGCTTTATTTTCTATCCTGATATAAAAAACAATAACACATAAGTTTTTATTTTTTTAAACTTTTTTCCCTTCTTTATTGATTTTTAGAGAGAGAAGAAGGGAGAGGGAGAAGGAGATACAAATATTGATGAGAGAGAACATCAAATGGCCGCCTCCTGCATGCCCCCCACTGGTGATTGGGCCCACATCCTGGGCATGTGCCCTGACCGGGAATCGAACCAGCAACCCCTTGGTGCATGGGTCGACGCTCAACTACTGAGCCACACTGGCCGGACAACACATACATTTTATATTGTCCCAGAACAAACAGACCACGATTTCAGTCTTGCAATTTACATAACTGATTTCATGTTCTTTTGACAGGTCTACCATAAAGCATGCAGGAAAGTTGCTAATATGTGGACTGGAGCTATTTAGTGACAAAAGTTTTCATTGCTCTATGACAGGATGAAAGAAATAGACTCACATGTGGAGGTGGCCAACTCTCTCTGCTGGGGAAGGACTGTGTTGTATTCTAAGATGATATTCTTTTCTCAGTTTTAGTGTCAAATGTCCTATCTTTTATGACTTGATGGTGATGGTAAGCAGTAGCTCTTTTTATATGTTGCCTTTGTTCAAAAGCAAAAAGGTAACAGCTCCATGTTGGTTTCCCAACTCTTTAGAGTAACGTTACTCATATCTAATATCCCAACATCTGAAACTACTGGAATAGGCCGACTTCTTTCCCAATGTGGGAATTCCCTGATAGCATTCCTGGTAGGACTTCTGCACTAATCCAGATGGAGCTGAAGCCTACTGCCCCACCGGCAGCCTGCGCCAGTCTGATTGTTGGGGAGTCTTTGCTGTAGGTTGGCTGAAGGTTCTGCTCTCAACTGGTGTTAGCTGGGCATCTTGGCTGTGGTGCTCTGCTCCACGGTCTCACAGGTCCTCCTGGGACCAGCAGCCTAGCTCAGGCATGCTCTTCTCGGGGACCAGAGAGGAAGAGGCTGCCTGCTAGACTCCTACAGTCTAGTCTTCAAACCAGCACCCCATCACTTTCACCTCATGCTACTGGACGCAGGATGTCACAGAGTTGAGGGGTGGGAAAATATATTCTGCTCTTATGTGTGAGGAACTGCCAAACCCTATGTCAAAGGGTGTGAAGACAGAGAGGGGAGGAGAATTTGAACCGATAATGCAATCAATCACAGTCATAGTATAGTCTTTTTTCCCTCTGGGTAAAACATTTCTAGTTAACTCAGCTGGATTTTAGTCACAGGTTCAAAGCGACTGCGGTGACCTCTATTTCCTTCCCTTCCCTCCAACCCATTTGGATGTGTTGTGGTGTAATGCAAAGAGCAATGTGGACGACACAGGCCCACTCGAGAACTGAGCAGCTCTGTGACCTTTAGTGTGTCTTTTAAATTCCCCATCTGTGAGACTGGGATTATAACATCGACTTCATAAGGATCCTTATGAAAATGAAGCCCAACAAACGTGCTTTGCCCCCTGTAACGAGCTGTGCCAGTGTGAGTGCTGATGTCTCCTGCAGTCTGAGGTCAAGCACAGAGATCCCACCCCCTCTGGGGAACAGAGCTTGGGGAAATGGGCTCAGAGCACAGAGGGGGAGGCAGGGCACGGGGCGGGACTGGCTTCCCGCAGCTCCCACAGGGTTCT